GCAGCTCCCGCCGGAGCTGCCGGGGGCGGCGGGCATGGGCGGCCCCGCGGCAGCGCTTCCCCCGGCGCCGCCGCCCGCTCAGGCGCTGCGAGCCGCTCCGGAGAGGGCGCCGCGCATGAAGCGCGGAGCGGAGCGCGGTTCCGCCGGGCAGGGCAGAGCCGGGCAGAGGCGGGCCGGGCTGATCGCGCGGGCCGGGCTGATCGCGCGGGCCGGGCTGCGCGCTGGGCCCTGATTGGCCCGGAGTCTCGCAGCGCTCCCGACCAATAGGAGGGCGGCTGCGCCCGCTGCCCCTTCCCTATTGGCTGCGGCGCCGCCGGGCGGCGCGGGGGCGGGCGGCGGCGCCAAGCGGCCAATGGGCGCGCGGGGGCGGGGCCTGCGCCACGCGACGCCGCCAATGGGCGGCGCTGTCGGCGGCGGGGGCGGGGCCGGGGCGGGACCCGGCGAGCGGCTCCGGGAGCGGCGGCCGGCGCGGGGCGCGGGGGCTGCTGCGGGCGGCCCCGGCCCCGGGCAGCGCTGCGGGTCGCTGCAGCCGCGGCCCCCCGGGCACTGCAGCGGGAGGTGCGGGGGCTGGCCGCGGAGGGGCCGCAAAACGCCGACATCCTCCTGGCGACGGCGAAATTGGCAGCGTTTGGCGGTCACCGTTAATTACCCCGCGATCCGCTCGGAACTGCAGAGTTCTGCAGCCGGGAGAGGCAACGCGGCACGCGCCCGTCTGTTCCAAATAAAACTAGCATTTTACCGCTCCCTGCCTCGCCCTGCGCCGCCCGCGGCTGCGTCCGGGTGTAATGAAAGAGATTCCCATGAAGGGGCCGCGCTCGCCCACGCGGGACCGTCCCCGCCCGCGGCGGCAACGGCGCGCGGGCGTTTGGGCAGCGCGATGAGCGGGCACGGGCCGCGGAGCGGGGCTGCCCGAGGCGCCGGGGCGGCGGCGCCCGCCCCGCTGCCGGCCCCGCTCGCGGTGCGGGCCCAGGCCCGGCCCCGGTGCCGGCCGCGCCGTCGGGCCCCGCCGCTTTCCCAGGCACAACGGCGCCATCTAGCGGCGCGGCGCGGGGCAGCGGCGGCGGCAGCGCCGCTCGCTCCGTGCCCGACACCCCCCCACGGCCGGGCACCCCGGTTCCCGCCCTCCCAGGGGATCCCTCCGGGAAGCGACATCCCCCCGTGCCAGCACAGCCCCCTCCTAGGACGCAGCCCCATCCGCAGGCACGCGCCGCTCCCGGGACACCTTTTCCCAGGACACTGTCCCTGCGTGCACGGGGGCACCAGCTGGCGGCCGCTCCGGCCCCCCATTGTGCGCAGAGACCCCCAGGTCCAAATAGCCCAGAATATTTAAGGGTGGGAGAGCACAAGGTGGGGGGGAGGCTCCTTTCTCCCCTGGGAATCTCCACAGCCGGTCACTGGATGCAGGAGCAGGAGAGGAGGGTTGGGAACAGAAGGGGGGACAGCGTGAGGGGGCACGAGCCTCTGATCCCAAGGACTTGCCTGAGAAAATTGATTCTGATGGCTTGGAGCACACCGTGCAGACTGTGGAACCGACGGAAGGCTCATAAACAAAGGGTAATTAGAAACAGGGGGAGGTGTTTATGGGGTGCTGCAGGGAGCTAGGTTAGGTCTGCTCTCATTTAATACCCTCATTAATGACCTGGAAAGAGGGAGTAAACTGCACATTAATGAATTTGGCAGATGATGCTATGCTGGGAGGTGCTGTGAGCTCCGGCAAGCATAGAAAATTAACACAGAGGGGCCTAGGGAGATGAGGAACATGGGCAGGACGTGGCCAAATGCAACGTGCCTTGGACAAGTGCAAGGGACTGCGTCGGGGCAGCAGATGCAASGGCCGTGAGGGGAGCCAAGGAGGAAAGCACGAGCTGAGCAAAGCAGGAGGCCCTGCAGAGTCAAAGGGATCCTGCAGGGAGACAGGGAGCGTCTGGGATTGGGTGGGAAGAGCGGCTGGGGTTGCACAGGCAGCTCAGGTGCGGCCGGGCTCCCTTTGCATAGACAAATTGCCAGCAGTTCAGGGGGAAGCGGCACAAGTGATCAAAGACTCGGAGAGACTGATTTCTGAAGGAAGATTAAACGGCTTAAATACATATATTGCTTGGCTAAGAGCTATCCACAGGGAGAGAAAATAAGAGCCTTGCAGATCTGGTTGGTGTAAATAGAGAAGGAGGGAAAGAATTATTTAATACAGTACATGGGGCATCACCAGAAGGGATGACAGGAAATGAAGAAATGGAACATTTAGGTTGAATGTCACCGGGGAAAAAAAAAACTCTGCTGACAGTGAAAATTATGAGACTGTGGCGTGGTTCCCTGGGGGGAAAAAGTTCTGTGGCTGGAGATATTTAAAACCAGACGGGATCGGTGTGAACAGAAAGGCACTCGGGATCAGCCAGCGACAGGGAAGTGCAGGAGTGGAAGCAAGGCAAGCGCCCACCTAATTTGACAGCTCTTTTTCTGCTGGAAGATTTCCTTGCAAAATYCCACATTGAAAGACTGCAATGTTTGTTTATTGCGTGTGGATATTTCTGTTATTGCAGCGGAGGACACAGCAGACATGCCGAGCGCATGATGAGCACACGAGGGACACCCTATAATCGAGAGAGGAGCCCCTGCGACACCACCTCCGTGTCATTACGGAAGGGAGAGGGTACGAGCGGGTTAGGAGCCTGTCTCCAGGTTATGGAGCAGACCCACCAGTMCCGCGCCCATCCCTGCCCCATGTCCCTGCCCCGGACCAGTCTCTCCTGCAGTTTTTGCCTTGCAGAGCCGTTCCTGATCCAGCAAATTTCCCTGGGATGCTCCGGCGCCAGCACGAGCCAAGCACTGCAGCAACGTCTCCCCAGCTGCACAGCCCCAGTCACCTTGGCCAAAACTCCTGCTTTCACCTCAGTGTTTAGTTTGCCAGAGGCGGTGCGAGGCTCCCGGCGGAGCAAAGCAAGGATCGATTCCCGTCCCACCCCTGCCCCGCTCCCCCCGCGCCGGCGGCCTGGGAGTCCTGTCAAGCAAATGGATTAATAGTGCTATTATCAGCCCAGATAGATGGCTGGGGTGAGGAGAAAACATCGCGTCCCGGGGAGCTCAAGTAGGCGCATTAATAAAGATGCCACACGTCGGCTCCGAAGCCTGAGAGCGCCGCTCCGCACCTCGCAACACAATTAGCCCATCGGCAGCCCGGGGCCCTCATCTCCATGCGCCCAACRCGCTCCCAGCTCCAGGGCCGGACAGGCCGGGCCTGGCGTGGCCTCTCCGCCGATGCCAAGCGGCTCCGGCTCCGCATCCCGTTCCCTAGCAACCTCACAGGGCCTGGCCCCGCGGCGAGGCAGCGCCGCCAAGGCAGCAAATCCAGAATGGAAAAGCAACGAGCCCCAGCACATGGGAGAAACGGAGCCCTGCAGCCTCTGGATGCTCTCCTGGCTCCCGCATCCTCCCGCATCCTCCTGCACCCTCCTGCATTCTCCCACATCCTCCTGCATCTTTCCACATCCTCCCGCATCTTCCCACATCCTCCCGCATCCCAGGGCACCGAGCCAGAGCCCAGCTCTGCCTCCGTCCAGCCTGGGTACAAGGAGCATCCCAGGCCGGTGCTCAGCAGATACAGGCAGAGCCTAACCAAGATATTGGTTCTGGTTCTGTCCATGCTGTAAAATAATGAAAGCTTTTAATTAAAGGCAAGTGGTAGAGCCTGGAGCCTCTTGTCTGAGCTCTGCTGGGAATCGCTTTCCTTCCCAGGCCRCCGTTTATAGCTGTCTCTTGCATACCTGTCAAAAACTAAATCTGAGGATCTCAAACATGTATATTTGAAGCTCCAGCGTCAGCGCACCGAAGGCCGGGATTTCCCAATAATCGGGTGTGGAGGATTCTGTCCGGGCCGTGGCTGCGATCCCGCTCTCCTCCCTTCGGCAGCGCTACCGCTCTCTGGGGCGCTCCATGCGGCTCCTGCTCCTTCGCCCACGGCTCCCCACTCTGAAGTCTTTTCTTTTTCCCTTTCCTCGCATCTTTTCCTTCTAGCAGCTAAGCGGAGTAAAATAAATGATGTGGGTTTATTTTTTATTTTTTTGTTTATTTCTCTCTTTTTCTCCTTTCTTTGCTTACCCAGTTCTGCAAAACTTGAAAGCTTTTCAAAGCATCTGAGTGTTGAGTGGTGCAGCTGAGGTTTGTGCTTTCCTTTCCCTCCGCAGCGTTGCCAGTATCAGAGCAAACTGGAAAAACTGCAGCACGGAAAATAAAGCAAATGGASAGAGAGAGTAAAACTGGGGGCAAAATCCCCAGATCACTCACCAGGCATCAGCTAAGGGTGGAAAAAGGCAAGACCTGAAAAAAAACAAAAGAGGAAAACACAATATTCCATATTTGGGGGGTATTTTTTTGGTTTGTTTTCAATCTGACACAATATGCAGCTTGCAATCAGGTAGGAGAGCATTCTCCCAGACCTCTGGGCACTTTGCAGACCCGCAGCTGCACCGGGCGCCGCTTGCACACGATAAGGGACCATGGCTGTAAAATATTGAGTCTTTAGACTATAAAAATCCTGTCTTTCTAAGCTGAAATCTAACTTTATTTGTGCTGCGGCAGTTCCATCAAAGTCAGCAGGGTTTCCTGGCTGTTAGCAGGGGCCGTGCCTGGCGCGCTCCCTGCACAGAGGTTAAAGCGCCAAAGAGAGGACAGCGTCGCACGGGAGGATTCGATAAACTCCTATCACTCAATACTTTAATTCACTTTCACTGATGCAGCATCTTTTATCAAAGATTGCATAATGCTGAATAATCACCAGGCCCGTAATGCAGAGCCAGACAGGCAGTTATAATCAAATTTGAAGCCTGTATCAAAGCA